ACAGTTATTATGGAACATAAAAAGTCATTCGTAAATTGTATTTAGAAGAATCTATATGGTTAAACACAAAAGACGATTCAGAAGGGCACACTGCATATAGACCAATATACCAAATGTCTATACATCCATACCAACAAAAGTTTTACAATAAACCCCATCCCCCTTATCATTTTGCAGAAAATGCTGCTCAAAATATAATTTAGATCAATTTCATCTAGGAAACCCTAACTTAACAAATATTTTACATTGACCCCCCGGTGATAACAAATATATCACATTAAACTCTATTTTTACAATTTTTTGATTTTTTTTCTCAAATAATATATTATTTTCTGACTACTTTTCCCCGTCTGTCGCCGGCCTAAACTTTTTCCTTTTCATGCCATAAATGTTGAATTTGTTTTTTTATTTTTTGAGTTTTTTCATGCCAGTCAGCTATCGTTGACCTTTTTTTTTGAGTGTGTTTTGTTTTTTTCTACTTTTGTATCCCGCTGTTAACCTGTCAACACAGTGAGATTCTTGCGAACACAATAATTTTACTATATTACACAGTAATATTATTTTTTAAAATTTTCATTTATTTAACGGCCAACACAGTACAATTACTATCTAATATAACAATATTATTGTCTAACGCAATAATATTAACGTGTTAACACAATAATATTACAACAAAAACGAAAAAAAGATATCGAAAAAAAAATCAACGGCGAGAAAAGTAATAAAAAAAAAAACGTTGACATGGGTGGTGGAATACAAATTCAGAAAAATAAAATAAAATAACTTTAGAGGCCGGCGGTCAATGGGTTGCGGGAAAAAAAATATTTTTTTTAAACAACGTCGGAGACCCGCGGTCAATGACGGTTGAACGGTGGTTAACGTTAGTGATGGTCAAAATTGGGGTCAAAATTGGTTATTTGGTGAAATTAGGACTAAATTATGGGTTATTTGGTGAAATTAGGACTAAATCATGAAATTAGGGTTTAGAATGGCTAGGGTTAATTTTGATATATATGAGAAATTTTTTCGTAATAGCAAATAAGTGTTGGATGGATGAATATATCTGCAAAACAAAAATGTGATATTTCCATTTTTTATTGGGAAATTAGCTGGAGGTCCCTAAAAAATATTCTTTATAGCTATAAAGACACGCACATTTTGCCATTTTGCTAAATTCCCTATGGGCTAGACACGGCCATGGGCCGGTTCGGGCCGGTTTCGGGCCGGTTCATACGGGTTCACGGTTCACTTTTTTCGGAACCGAAACCGGCCCGTAATATGCACAGTTCGGCGGGCCGAGTCGGCCCGCCGGTTCAATTCGACTCCGGGCGTATCCGGGCCGTACCGGTC